ACTACTACTACTACTACTACTACTACTACTACTACTACTACTACTACAACCTGGTTTGCCAACACCCACTCACAAGGAACACACTGACATGGAACTTAGAGCAAATTTTGGGAGTTTGATCATTAAACATCATCTGATACCTTTTACAGTACAGTAAGCATTACGATATCAAGATTGGTAAAGCATGGGCTTCTAACGCATCCTCCACTACAGCAGTGGCAAACAACACCTTGTTTGTCGAAATCCACACGTATTTGGAGTTGCCGTTTCCCTCTATGATCGGTTCTTAATCTTCTGGTTCTAGTGAGTCTATTGTCCACACGAAGAGGGTATCCGTCTGACGGGCTATCCACACTTCAGTTTGTACATGTCTTCTGATTTCTGCGAAAACATGGAGGAAAACATCCAAAATCACCATGTCCTATGTCTCTGGAATGGGCCCAAAGAGAGGAAAATAGGCTTCTGACTCCTCAGGGACCGGACCGAGTTCTGGCTCGGCCTTGACCCGAAGCCCAGAACGGCGGTCGAAGCGGTCGGTTGAGGCAACAGATTTACATTCAAGATCATTCGAGATTAGAGGGCCCCGGGGGTCATTGGCACCCTACAATAAAGAGGTTTTGAAGCCTCAGGTTTTTTGTTGGCACTAAACGAATAATTAATCGATATTTACATAAGTGTGTTGCAGCCAGGATCCTATTCAACGACCCAAGCTGCGCCGCCCTCTCACTTGGCACAAGTCGCCCATTATTGATGTGGAGGCCCATGACAACAAACAAATATACAATTATTTATATATATATAACAGTGAATGAATCCAAATGAATTCCTCTTGTCCCTGATCCATCGGAGTCCTGAATCTTGTTTTAGAGTGTCGAGGGGCCCGGTTTTCTCATCAAAAGTCCGTGGCATTTTTCCATGGCGAGTTCCGTGGCAAGTAGCTTGAGAGCTCGAGAGATCGTCTTGTTCTCATCCATGTCTTGTAGCAAGTGCTCCAGGTAGTAGATCACTGGGCGCCATCCTTGGGACCCCACAATCTCGACGAAACGTGGCGGATAGACATAGATAGACCCTAAAGACCTTCACCTTCAAACCCGACGGAGGGGGCCTTGATTCACTTTGAAGCCCCCGGAAAGGCACGGTGTTTCGTTGATGCACCCGAGGATGTGGATGATTCACGGCCTTCACGGCCTTCTGAGTCGAGGCCGGCCTCGAGAGGCCAAGACACCGCCAAGCAATGATGTCCGACCGTGGGAATAGTAGAGCGGTCGATGCCAGGTACCACATGTTTCTTGTTCTTCGATTCTTTTCCTGAGCTCTTCTTCTAGAAGTCCGTTTCAACTTCATGCTTCTTGAACATGGTGGGTAGCTCCATTTGGGCCCCCTTGCTTCCGCAACTGCGCTTGAGCTTGGCAGATGCTTGAAAGCTCTGCTCGCTGCGGGGTACCACATATATATATATATATATCGGGTCTATCCTATTACCAGTATCAGTGGATTTTGTCCTGGACGACCAGTCAGCCTATGCGTACTAGCGGCCCAATCCGAACTAATTGGCAAGACATCAATGCACATGCGAACGAATGTTATGGACCAGCTGCTCGAAGGGGATATTGAGTTCAGTAACAGTGGATGATGATGGTTAGTAGAGGCCTTGTTCAAAAATACTGTACTGCTGATTGTTTACTGACTGTTACAGGTACAGTAATAGGACAGACCCAATTATGTTATTATATATATAGTACATACAGTAAACCCATATATTTTGGCCTATTGGTTGTTTAACTCAAGGTATCCCCTGTATGAATCAACGAGCCCCAGGCCTTAGGCCTTCAATGGCTGTCAACGGCTCCCTTCTCGGGGAATTGGTGGATCCCCCACACGTTCCGAACACCGAGATGATCGATCCAGGATGCCGAGAAGGGCCGACGTCTCGGCACCGTCCAGGACGCCCCGCCCCGGCCGACATAACTCCATGGGAGACCCGCCACTCTCAGGACCATGCAACCAGCAAGTGGAAGGAATCCTCAACTAGCTTCATCCCATATCCCGACATCCCATGGTGTCCAGTTCACCTCAAACCGAGGACGAAATGAAGACTGGAGAAATGAGCATCAATCATGTGCCACATTTGGGTGCGTGTGTGTATGTGCACAAAGAACAGAACATGTTTCCAGGAGGTCGCCTCACAGAACAATTGAAATTTCCCACAAAGAAAGCGACCAAGGAAAGCCAACAAAAGCAAACACCAACAACTTGTGGCCTCGAATGAGCCCTTCCAGTTTCACGAATTAGGCGGGCGCAACTGGTCCTACATCATAGTTTCAACGGTTGATCCTTACTATCCTCTTCATGTCACATCTGTCCAGGACCACCCAGCTAGGCGTCCCTCCAGCGTCTTGTGGGAGCGCCAAATGAGGCCATCCAAGAAGTTCTCTGCCAACTGCGGCGCCTCGCGGAGGATGTTCTCGACCTCAACGCCACGCGAACCGAGATATAAAACGCGTGCGCACAAAGCCAAATAACCAAACAACCATCCACTCTCATGTATTTTAACGCTGGAAATGTAGTTAAATATATATATATATACATACTGTGTCAAGAAAAACATACAAGTCCAGAAGTTTCCCTAATATCAATGTTAATTATATAGTTATATATAATATAGTTATATATATAGTTATATATATATATCAATCTGTTCACAGCACGGTGAGTTCTACAAGTTGCAAGACCCTGCGGTAGGTTGCTAGGTCCCTGCTTGACCCACAACTCTGTAGATGGTACATTGTAGGTGCCCCCGTGTCAACACAAAAAACAAACATTCGAGTCTTCAATCCAAAAGCAGGAGTCAAAACCCTGTAATTTCTGTGCTAAGGTCTACGTGAATTTCTCTGCACGCACACCTCCTGACCTCCTAGGGCAGTGCTGCTGCACCGTGTTCCTCTTCACCACCAGCCTCCGACCATTCTGTGAGTTTTCACCGTCTGTCATGCAACCACATCTGGCTGAAGTCGGAAGAGATCATTCACCCCATAGTAGTAGTTGTCTCGGTCTGCGCGGATGGTCAACACATCTTGGATCATGGTCCTCGGGAGCTGTGCCGCCGTACTGGCCGCGGAGTGCCGTACGTTGTGGGACGCGGATCGGACGTGTTCAGAGGACATGGACCATTCAACTAGGGGTTCTGAGTGCAAAAGCTTATATAGAAGAAGAACCAAGAACCCTCTTGGAGTTTATAGTGCTTATAGGTTGAGTTTATATAGAAGAAGAGAGAGTGAGACTCAACCAAATTGCTCTTGCCAAAGGTCCCACTCCAGAATACTCCAGACACACCTTTGTCGCGCGGAGCGGTCCGGCGATGTCGCGAAGGACCAGCTTTATATAAGTCTATGCCACATTCTACCATAAAGTATAGTGATCCCAACACGTTTAGTAGATAGAAACGGCGTCCAATACATGCTTTGTGCGGATCTACGAACTTCTATCTATTTGGGGGGTCTATACATATAATATGGTTGATGTCATTCAAACAGGTCGTCAACGATTGTAAGTCCCAGTGTTGCTCCCCTCCTTTTTCCAAACGCTACTCACTCTGACGATTGGATTCGACTCAAAAGAAGAATCACATCTAGTTGGGTCTTATTGGTGCCTGAGGTATGCATTGTTAATCCCACACAGGAAACCAACCTGCACATTCCGAGATTTCCACCTGGCCCGGGCGTCTTGGCTGGAAAAGCAGCTTTTTTCAAATGCACGATGAGTAGCATGGCTAGGGTCTAATTGATTTGCTCGATCTCATTATGAAGTATCCATAAACATCCATAAACCAAAAGGCCATGCAACAGTCACGGTTGCAGAAGGATCGGTTGAGTAGGGTAGATGTTTCCCTACTGGCAACTCGCTTTGGATGAACAAACGAGGAGTCGCTGTCAGACTCGCTCACAGGAAGAATTGACCGACCATCATTCACCATCACCCCATGGTTGCCTCGGCATATTTTACCACCACCACCACAACAACAACAACAAAACCCGCCGAGGCTCTTGGCCACGTTGTGAGCCCCACTTCGCAAGGCCTCGGAGACCAGCGAGTCGGTTCTCCAAATGCCCCTGCACCACCCAAGTACCAAGTACATCCCCCTGCCAATTACGGGGGTGGGGTCGGAGCCCCCATTCTGTAGTACCCAACATCACAAATTTACATGTACTATATATGTTGCAAGGACCAAACCCTGCTTCTCTACAAAATGCTTGGACCCAACATAGATAGTACAGTATCATATAAGAAACAGATAGAAACAGGAAATCTGCACTGCAAAAGTGATGGGACCCAACCTCTATGTTGTCAATGTGTTTGACTACAAAATGGTATGAACCCGATTTTGAGTCACCAAAATGGCTGTAGAAATTTGCACTACATTATGGACGTACCCAACATCGGATAGAATCATATTGAAATGACAAATCTGCACTACAAGATTGCAGGGACCCATCCTCTATATCTCAGCATCAAGGCCTTGCGTAGTCGCTACAAAATCCTCATCTCTACAAAAAGAGGTGCCTCAACCTCTTCTTTTTGCAACATATTAAACACCTCAACGTAGTGGACTTGAGACACCCCATTTCATACAGGAAATCAGAACCGAGATCCAAGTACTAGTCAGTACAACCCTTCCTTCGGTCATTTTGCGTCTGGTGAGAAAGACATCCAGGCCCAGGCGTTGGTTTGTTGCAGCCCATTGCATGGTCCAAGTATGGCCCTTGGACACTCAAAAGCCTACGAAAGTTCCCTTTTGCGGGCTACAGCCAAGCCGTCCTGACCCAGATATTGGATGATGTCAAGTGGATGAATCTCCTTAAAATCAGGACACTGTCGTCGTGTCAGTTTTTTTGCACCAGAACGGGGAGCCCTCGCCTTCCCGTTCGGTGCAAGGACCCCGACCACAAGAAGTCACATCCATCATCCTACAGTCTCTGCCCCTCGTCCTCACAAGTCTCAACCCGCAACTCTTCTTCACTTCAATCCAAATCCTCCCAAATCCTCCCAGCTCCCTCGGCTTCCCCCAATCCTGAACTCCCTTTGAAGCACTGGGGCCCAATAGAGCGGTGAAATCGATTGACTGCCCACGCGCACGCTCAGCTGCCAGGTAAAGCGCTCGCTGCGCGGAGCCTCGCGCAGCGCCCGGCGCAAGCGCTTGGGGTCCGCCTGGTGGATGGCCTGGCACGGTACGGTCAACAGACATCGTTTCGGGGGGTCAAGGACCTGCTCAGGACGGTAGGACGGTGGGGTGTTTAGAGTTCTCCAAAGGTGTCGGTGTTCTTCTTGTTAATAGAAGATGGTCATCTGCCGTGAAATTCTTTGGCGATCTGTTGCTTGGGTCTATTTGTTTGGGCGCCAAAGCAAATTGGGCGATTCCCAGCAGCTCCAGCCCAACAGTTGATGTCCTTTTCGGCATGGGATACTCTTAGAAGAAATACTGAAGAGAGTTGCTGCGGTGCATCTCAATAGTGCTTCGCTTGCTTCTTACTATATTCAGACATATTCAGGCTATATGATTAATTTTACTATATTTTACTATAAAGATCTATAAAGATCTTGAAGAACTTGTGCAGCACCTGAAAAGAAGAGACATCACCCGACTTACATTGGGTTTGCTGTGTGGAACAGCTCCTTTGTGCTGTCGGAGCCTTGCTCCTTCCTTCCGATCCCGTTCCCTCCGGTGGCCTGCATCACCGCCGTGGAGCCTGTTCCGGGCACGGGAGGACGGCGAAAGAACAATAAACACATCCAAAGCCAGCAGTTCCAAAGAGGTGCTTCCTGGAGGAAGTCGGGGTGCCATGGGATGCCACATCCGGATGGGACAAGCCACCCCGACGTGGAACTCTGAAGCACCGAGATGCTCAGGTCGAACCAGGACGAACATCGAGCACCAGGGGCGACTCGGCGGAATGGAGACGGTGCTTCGACTGGCAATCGAGATCACCTGGACAGGGGGAACTATTGTTTTGCCAAGACATACGGTGCCTCTTGTACTAGAAGCATCCTTCACGTCGTGACTTACAGTAATGCTCAGCATTGTGGTAAGGACACCTTGAATGCAGTGACGTTTGCTGATATAGTCATTAAATGCATGCAATTGCTATCAAATACTGCAAAACCACTCTGTCTGGACATGTAAGGATCCAAAGTGATGCAGCTGGCAAGGATCGAACCAGAGTCCAAAAGCCGTAGGCCAATATTTTGAATATTTTGGGCCAAAGGTGGTGTTCATTCTTGGAGCACCTTCCGAACATCACCCACCCCAAGGACATTGGACATGTTTTTCAAGGGATAGTGCTTCGTGGAGGGTCTGGTTGGCCTGGTCTGGCAATCGATCGAGGAGTTGAAACCGATGCAGTTCATCCATGTTTGCCCCCAAACTCCAAACATGCGGGGAGATGACCCAAGCTCATGAATGATCGAACCGGCCTATTCAAAGGAAAACTAGCTCAGTAGCTCACTTGATTCAACAAGCCTCCACAGCACCTGATTTCCTCAGGTGTTCCTCCAACCGATTGACCGCCGGACCGAAGGATCGACGGTCCGAGCGCTCGAACTGAGCTCGCCTTCGATGATGGTCCGGACCAGGACCCGAGAGACCAATCCAATAGACCAGCGGAAGCCCTCGAGCATCAGGTGCCTCAGCGGTGGAGATCGGTGGAACAGGTCCTTGTGGGTTTGATGTTCAGGTTCGGTGCGGGTTCGGTGGGTTGGTGGGAAAGACCTGATGGGAACCTTAAAGATCAGCGTTGGAGAATGCTCGTGTAGACAGTGTAGACTCTTGATTAATAGACCCCCATATGAAGAGGTGTTTCAATTCAATTGTGTGTGTGTCAACCCCTGTACCTAAAAGTTCCGATGTTTCCAAGCAGGGGGACGGGACACCACTGGCACTGACCGTCCAACGAAGAGGGTGCCAGTGGGTGCTGAAGCAGTGGAGGACGCTCCACTGCGTAACTGCTTCAGCGGTTGAACGAGCTGTCCAATTGATCTTGTTTGCTTCCATGGTTCTTCATGCTACTCCCCACAAACCATTTTCCCTCAGCCGCTTTCAGCCACTGCGCGTTCATGCACTGCCGACCAGTGAACAATTTGTTAAACATTTCAGTTGCGCTGACCTTTTCACCTTGCGTTTCCCTCACCTTCCTTCTCGATTGGGGAATTGAGTTAACAGCAAACCAATGTCAGAGTGTGAATCGCTCAGCCGTCCCACTTGGGTGCTGGGTGTGATCCTCCGCAAGGAGGGGCGGCTTTCATACAGGAAATCGTTTTCCTGATTTATCGTCCTTTCATCGTGGATCACTGTCACTACTTCCATGCCAATACTGAATTAACAGGATTAAAAGCCGCCGGGCCTTTCACGGTGAACAACCATAGCCGCCGGGCTAAAAAACGGCATTCCACTTGAGGTCAGGCATGTTTCCCAAACCCCCCCCCCCCGCCGAGTTCTACTCCCCACCTTATTAGGGCAACACAGGGAAATGGTACTCGACACACTTGTGTGTCGGTGCCTTTCCCTTTGTTGTTCCTCTTCTAGTCTTCTCTACCCGGGCGGTCTAAGACTAAAGTCCCGCTCCCTAACTTTTGCATTTAATTCGCCTCGGCTAAGTAACTCTAGGGTGCTAAGTAGCAAGTAGTCATACACACACACGGACACACACACATGCTACATACACCCCCTCCCTGCCCCCCCCTTTCTTTCTTACGCTTTCGGTCGTTTCTTGGGCTTTCTTTCAGGCTTTTTAGGTTGTTCTTGAGGCTCGTTTCCCTGCCCCAGTCAAGGGCTAAGTATTCACCTTTTTTCTACACCTATCTTTCTCTCTTGCCCTCTTAGCGCTGCTCTTTCTGTGTTTCTTTCTTTTGTTTCTAAGGCTTTTTAGGTGCCTATCCAGGCCGCCCGCACCAGCGCCGCAAAGCGGCACCGTGCGTGCGTCAACCCCTGTACCTAAGGGTTCCGATGTTTCCAAGCAGGGGGACGGGACACCACTGGCACTGCCCGTCCAACGAAGAGGGTGCCAGTAGGTGCTGAAGCAGTTGAGGACGCTCCACTGCGTACCTGCTTCAGCGGTTGAACGAGCTGTCCAATTGATCTTGTTTGCTTCCATGGTTCTTCATGCTACTCCCCACAAACCATTTTCCCTCAGCCGCTTTCAGCCGCTGCGCGTTCATGCACTGCCGACCAGTGAACAATTTGTTAAACATTTCAGTTGCGCTGACCTTTTCACCTTGCGTTTCCCTCACCTTCCTTCTCGATTGGGGAATTGAGTTAACAGCAAACCAATGTCAGAGTGTTAATCAAGAGTCTACATTAGTGTTACGACGTCACAAGTCCAGATTCCCGAGGGTTCCAAATACCTGCTCCAAACCCACAACAGGGCCACCGAAGTTACAGGGAGCCTGATTTTGTTTTAGTCGGGTTTCCGCGGAGCATCCTACTCTCATCTCTCTTTTGTCCGGCAATATTTGTGTTTTGACACACATATACACACATGATTTGGGGGGATTGAGATGCAGCAACTCAAGCCAGTCACAAGCACCATATAGAATGGAACCCGATCTTCTCGAGCCGATCTTCGCTCTCCGACGGCCTGTACGGACCCAGTGGCGCAGCATCTCCGGAGCCGCTCTTCGTCGGCACCATGGGAGAGTCGTTCTTGGGAGACAGCCCAAAAGCATCGCCACTCGCCGCCAACGCCTTGCCTGGCAAGGGATCCATTTTTTTTCCCTGAAGCTAGCATGGAAGTGGATGGCATGGCCCCTTTTGGAAGTTCTTTTTCCTCTACAAACAGGTGGTTGTCCACTTCTTTGTTAGTTGCAGGGAGAGTATGTTTGGTGTACGAGGACTAGTCGAATCTAGTCCTGCAAGGTGCATTGATAAGATCATTGAGCTTTTGGACTTTTGGATAGCACAATTTGGAGAATGGAGATGTTGAGGTCGTTTGAAGGAGTTGCATTCTCGATTTCAGTAGAGCGTGTGAGTTCATATTCTCGGAACGCAGCAGCACCAGGACCCTCAAAACGACCGCCGGACGGCTCCCAAGACCCAAAACTGATACGCCGATGAGAGTACACGACCTTGGAATCAATGGTTGTGCGTCAGTGACTCTGTGTCACTGCTTGCTCCGCGCCAAGCGCCACGTCCCCGTCTTTTTTGAGTTTTGTTTAGGGAGCCAAATCGACCTCAAACATCGACTCAAAGACCGGACCCTGGGAGGGACTGTTTGGACATCGATGTGTCCATCTCCTGCCATGACTGCAATGGTCATGGTATACACTTACACCCTTCCAACACCCACAGTGTCGTGAAAGAAGGGATGAAGCGGTTTGGACGCATACTCGGAAAGAAAAGGAATGACATGCGAAAGAGCCTGGTGACTGCTAGTGGACATCTAATTAACAATCTTAGACATATCTAAGTTATCTAAGCCACAACCATCACCAGTTCCACAACTTAGCAAATCTTGAACAGCTGGGTCTACCCGAACAAGCAAACGTGTGTGTTGGTCTGTATTTCAAAAGACAACCCCTCACCAATGGCTTTTGGTCTATACCTTCTTCTTCAAGCTGATCTACGAGGTGTCTCCCTATTCCAATACACACCCATGTAAGTCATCCATGGCAACACCCTCTTCTCGGCGCGGGAAGAAGAAAATGGCTGTGGAATGGGATTAACCACTCCCTGAAATCGGAAGTGGAGTTCGCCACCTGTTTGATACAGGATGTCATACTCTTCCAGGGGCTCAACTGTTCTATTTCCATTAATTTTTGTTTCAGGGAGTGTAGGTCCCCTGAACCACAGGGCTGAACCCAGAATCACTCACCTCCACGTGGTTTTCTGAAAACAAGACTTTGTGCTTGGTACTGAGTCTCACCGCTTTTGGGGCCATGAGCGGTGCAGCTGAAAAACACAAATCATGTCATAGTTGAAGGATTTTGGAGGTCTGAGTCTAAGTACCTCCAAGCTTGTTAGACAACCAAGTATCTCAGGGGGGTTAAAAACATCCTTAAACAAAAAAACTCGAAACATGCCGAGCTCCCGCGCACCGATGGGCGCTCTTTTTTCTCAACGATGCACCTTCAGGCAAAGCATCGATGACGGGTTTGATCACCTCAGCGAAGTCCAAGGACGGAGACGGTGCCAAATCGTCGGACCGAGCCTCCAAAGATGTGACGAGGCTCGGTCATTTACAGTATATATGAATTACCCTGTCAGCGTGTTCTGCATTGGACATCATCTCTATGATATTTGGGACCTTCAAAGCCTAAACGAGGAAAACATGGAAACATTGAAAAACCGTTCCATCTTGGAGACAAAATCATAGACAAACCGAACCCCTGCACTTTCCATGCTGCACTCAAATCCATGCGTGTTTGGAGCTTTAGTTCCGTCTTGATGAGTCATCTCTCGCCTCGCCACACGGGTGTCCCGCTCTCGCCTCCACGCAGGAGTCGGCGAAGGGCCCAAAGAGCTCGATGGGAACACCATAGCCTCGCTCCGTGTGGACAGTGGACCCACTGAAGAGTGACAAGGACCCACTGAAGAGTGACAAGAAGTCCTCAGATTATTACAACAAACTATTGGAGGGAGTGTATCTGGATTTGGGTGCTTGAGTTTTAGTGCACGCACGCACATGCGTCTAGTCAATGTGAAACGTCTCATCATACTCGTAATCAATCCCCGGCGCCGACATGGCGTAAACCCAGCGCTGACAGCTCGTCGACCATCTCGATCTTGGGCTTGTGGAACCTGGAATCCATGGAAAAAAACAGGTGACGTTTGGCTAGCGGCTACTCAAATAAGTCCACTGCAAACATTGGTATCGGTGGACATCTCTGGTGGTAGATTCGAAGAAGGAACATCACCCGCTCCGAACACCAGAGGGGGCTCCTAAGGGCAGGAGAACCTGATCTGACATTCCATGTTCGAAGTTGCTGCAACTTTCGGGAATTTCAATAGACCCACTTGCAGATTGCTCGCGATTGCCAGTCCAAACAAGTCTGAGACTCTGGGCACAACGGTGTGCCCCAAGGTCACCAGGCAACAAACATCTTAGCCATGCTTAGCCCCGAACTGCCCCATCATAGACCGATACGGTCCAGCCACCAAGCCAAGAATCAGCGCTACAAGTACTGGTAGCTGTCAAGGCGCATGTCATAGGAGCTTTGCAGCACCCGATCAGCGATGTAACGGAGACGAGTCAGGGACTGTTTGAACAAGTCTTGGGAGGCAGCACACTTCCTCGTCGCGGCACTCACCGTGCGATGGATAGAGAGTCTGTGTGCAATGACTGTGGCTATGGTGGACAAGGTCGCCCGTATAGTTGGTTGATCTGTACTTGATTGGTGGGCCGGTGGGATGCTTTGTGTCCACAAAAGTCAACTAGTATGAGGGATTTGCCTGGTCGTGATTGTTGGAGCCAAAACTGATCAAATGACCCCTTCAAATGTCAACCTGGAATTTTATCCTTCAAATGTCACCCAGGAACTTTATTTCTACCCACCTGAAAAGGCTTTGTTCAATGGTTCTTGGTGATAGGGAGCATGGAGAAAGCCCTGATCTGAAGCAGCACGTTTTGTTTTCAGCCCACCCTGTATAGATAGATGGTGATGTGATGTGATTTGTATTATGTTATAACTTTGAACGATTATATAGGACTGTTTATGGTGCCTCTTCACCTGGTCAACTCTGATTGGGACTGTACATGCCTAGGCCAGGCCCAATTCCATATAGTATAGGGCATTCATAGCACTTTCTCGGATGTTCCTTCTGAGGCGCTTGAACAACCCTACTACGCGGGCTGTGAACCCGACGGCCCTACGCATTACTGACACCTACCCACTGGTGGCAGACTTCCAACTCTGGTGTTCACTCTGGATTGGATCGAAAGCCACATGAACATGGCAAAATGCAAATGGTCGTGTTGTTCCGATGATAGCTGTATGAAATGGCCTGATGACAAAGAATTATATACATATATACATACATGAGTCTGTAGCCAGCTAGGATGAAATGCCAAAAGAACGGACCTTTACCTCACTCCCTTGCGCTGAGTTTCGAGAAGAAGTGCGTATAGATGGTACTTCCTGAGCGCCATCTGAACACATCCACTGAGACTCATTCATCCGAACAGGCTCAGCACTACTAAGCTAGTCTGGGGCGGCTGCTTTTAATCAAAATGACATCAATGAGATAGCCTTTGGGTCTATCTCATTATCTGTAAGCGTGGATGATGGTTGGGCTGCAGGCCTTGTTCCAAAATAGCGATACTTCTGCGCAAATTATATGAATTCTTACTTCGTGTCCCTTGTTTTGGAATTCGCATCCCGGGGTTTAGCACCTCGCCTCCTTATATACGGTTTGGAAATTATTGCCTCGCCTCGTTAGTTCCACCTCGTGCAGCTTAATTCTGAGGGGTTTGGGTGTGATGACGGGCTAGTAGTAGTAGTGGTAGTAGTAGTCGTCGTCGTCGTTGTCGTAGTCGTAGTCATAGTCGTAGTAGAAGTAGTAGTAGTAGTAGCAGCAGTAGTAGTAGTAGTAGTGGTAGTGGTAGTAGTGGGTTGACTTTAGCAAGGCTCTCTGTGCTGATTGTTCTTGTGGGTGAGGGATGTGTTAAGAACATGAAGCTAAGTTAGAACCCTTCCACAGTGAGAGTAAATGTCTTAGCATTATTACACTGCCTCCCCATTCTGTGAGAATTAGGTTGCTCCCTTGAACTTGGCATTCCGGACATCAGAACCATTTGTTTTTCATCTGCAGGCATCCGGGCGCTGTGCCTGCAACGAAATCTGCCTGCCACGAAATCTGCACTTCGAGGTTCACCAAGTGCTGCGCCTGCCACGAAATCTGCACTTCGAGGTTCACAAAGTGTTGTACCTGCCACGAAATCTGCACTTCGAGGTTCACAAAGTGCTGTGCCTGCCACGAAATCTGCAAACAAGCCACATGTCCAAAAGTAACGATTCACTGCGCCTGTCACGAAATCTGAGCTCCTCGACGATCACCACCATGTCCAAAGTACTGCACCTGCCGCGAAAACTGCATATCGATGTAATTTCGAAAACAGCTCCGGTCCCTTGCACCTGTCACGAAAAGTCGCACCAAAACACGAGGTTTCGCCCTGCACCTGCCACGAAAAGTGACCATCATGTGTGAAAATGCGCACGGCACCACAACGAGAGCGCAGTCGCTAGAAGCACCGGCCGCCGGCGGGCAGATTTTGTGAGCCTGCGCAGTCGAAATGCACTTGGAGGAGTTGGAGAGGAATGTACTGTAAATAGCAGTGAAAATTAGCCGGTCATGGCCGCGCGCTTCAGCGATTTAAGCATGAGCTGCTTTTCTTCTACCGTAAGAACCCCTAAGTGTGTCCGTGCACACTGCTTGGGGAAAAAAGACGGTCGAACGGAGAAAAAGCAAAATCACAGTTTTGGGTGGTTGTGGGGCCGTTTTTTCTTCGAGAAATAAAAAAAGCAGTTTTGGGCTGTGAAACTGTTTTTACCTTGAACAAAAACAGCCCCACGAGCACCCCAAACTCTGACTTTGCCTTTCCTCTGCTCGACCGTCTGTCCAAAAGAGGCCTTGTTGCAGAGCCCCCGTCAAACAAAATCCTTGTGATGGAGGTCGTGGCCGGGCTCTCCACTGACCTGCGTGGCACAAGGTCCAACGTCTCCGCTGACAAAGATTCTGTTTGACGGGTCCCGCTACGAGACAGAGATTGGGAAAAGGCCTCTTTTGGACAGACGGTCGAGCAGAGAAAGGCAAAATCACCGTTTCGGGAGGTCGTGGGGCTGCTTTGTTTTTTGAAAGGCTTTTTCACAGCCTTGGGCTGCGAAACTGTGTTTTTTGCCTTTGGTCATGGTCATGGTCAAAGTGGCAGTAGTAGCAGCAGCAGCAGCAGTAGTAGTAGCAGCAGTAGTAGTAGTAGTAGAAGAAGTAGACGTAGACGTAGACGTAGAAGTAGAAGTAGAAGTAGAAGTAGATAGTAGATAGTAGTAGTAGATAGTAAATAGTATACAGATAGTAGGTAGTAGATAGTAGGTAGTAGATCGTAGATAGTACATAGTAGTTAGTAGATGGTAGGTGGCATGGTAGAATGTAGAAAGTAGAAAGTAGTAGTTAGTACTTAGTGGTAGTAGTAGTCGTCGTCATAGTCGTAGTAGTCGTAGTAGTCGTAGTAGTCCTAGTAGTTGTAGTAGTCGTAGTAGTCGTAGTAGTCGTAGTAGTAGTCGTGGTAGTTGTAGTAGTCGTAGTAGTCCTAGTAGTCGTATAGTAGTAGTTGTAGTAGCAGTAATAGGAGAAGTCGTAGTAGTCGTAGTAGTAGAAGTAGTAGTAGTGGTGGTCGTCGTCGTAGTAGTAGTCGTAGTGAGTGGCAGTAGTACTGGTATTGATTTTTCTTTGATAGTCGTTTGTTACTATCCCATCCAATTCCCTTAAATTGCCCTAACCCACCTCGTGCCTGACTCCGTAATTTGTGCCTGTTCACCTCGTTACCTCGGCTGGGGTCGCTATAATTTGCGCAGATAGTTGTTTACTGACTGATACAAGGAAATATGACAAACCCAAGATAGCCTGGGATGATCACGGCATTGCTGTCAACCTCCTTTTTGTGCGACCACGCCGGATCCGAACGTCTCCGGATGGACATCCCTCGGAGCTGCGTTGGTGACCCCGGAACAAACGAGTGAGAATCGTCAAGATCCAACGAACAGCAGAGCTCCGTTGGAATCCAGGCCAGTCGGATCATGATCGACTTTCAAGTCGCTTTCAAGCCCACGGAAACCCCACGAGCGGAGTGAAGGAAATGGAGATCGCACCCAAATTTCTCAAAGACGAGATGTCCATCTCTTTTGGGGCCCAGCAAGTTCCTCAAAAACGACATGAATTCATGCCCGTGTCCAGCTGCCAAGCTTCAGGGTCCAACCCCTTCATTCGAGGGTCCAAGACGAACAGAGATGGCAACCATGACCCTTTAACAAGAAAATGCTAAGATGTCCTTGATGTAATGACTTCACAGAAGAACTTCACTAAGAATTGGTTTCGATTTCGCAGGTGAATCGGCTATAGGCCAGACCGGCGACGTGGTGTCGAATTCGGACCGTCGGAATTCGGCGCACCCCGGACGACTAATAGTCGATATCCAGATGCCAAAAGGACGACTATTCGGTGTCCTCAACCGATTCAACGAATCTGAGAGTTATATTTATAACTTATTGAGAGAGAGCTATTGAAGATTGAAGATCGATCTGCTATCACTTATAACTGCTACTCAGAAAAATAAAATGGTCTACAGGGATGTGAGGATGTGAAAAGCTGACCGGAATCGACGAACCCGTCGACGAATCGACGATCGGTCCGGTTCCTCGACGCGCGTCTGAGTCGAAGTCCAAACCATCGTCCATTCCGGCACGTGACCTTTTAACGTTGACCATCGAAGAATCCGAAACCCAAAGGAGACGTTCGAATTATTTCGAATTGTTGTTTTTAGTCTTGATGAATAAACCCCCGAAACCATTTGGATTGTGAAACCTCTTCGTGGTGGGGGTTTATGAACCAAGATTCCACCAGTCTGCCTATTAGAGTGTCCTAGTGGATCTGTGGATCTTCACCATCTGCCTCCGGTGCAGTCCCCTGTGCAGTCCCTGGCATCATTCCGAATGTCCACCAAGTTGGGCGGAAGTATTTCAACCACGTTCCCTTTCCTTAAGTCAAGAAGCAGTCATGACATACTGCTTCGACATGCAGTCGACCATGACTTGCAGGTCAATCTCACCATGACATGGCTTTTCCGACTCAAACAAAAATCTGCATCAGACTACACTGTCAGTGTCCCTTAAGCAAAACTCACCCGGGCAACTCTTCCCCAAACACCACTCACGACGGATTTTTCGAGGTGTCCCCCCCATTCTTCCGGTCGCGGCGCTGAAGTGCTCAAGCTGCTCGTCCCCAAGGACTGAGAACAAGTGGGCGTTGTAGGGCTTGTACATACGCACCTGGCACCAAAGCCGTGTGCTGCCGGGCTGTGGACATGCGTCAACCTGGCTTGCTTTGGTGGATCTTTGTCACGTTCAAATGTGAGATGCACCCGGGTCAAACCATGTTTGTGTCGGGCATCCCAACAACTCTCCCAGTCCGTGGTGGAGAGCAGGAACCTGGACCGTCCTGCCGGCTGAATCAGAAATGACATCCACGGTTGTTACGGTGGTCAAGAATCCACTGTACAGATGGCAGGAGATTTGCCCTCTTATTAGAATCTTGTATGTACAATGGCGGGAGATTGGCTCTCTTTGCAGAGGTTTTAGGTTGAATGAGCTAGGGCATGTATGGGCATGTTACAGCCCAGAAGAAAAACACTGTCAGGAAAGATGCCCAGCCTTGGCTGTGGCTTCTTTGAGGTTCCGGGCAATGGTTTGCCAAAGCCACTCCCATGCCGTTTCATGTGAAGTGCTCCAGGTCTTGGGCAGCAAAGAACGCAAGGCTGCCATCATCACCGGCTTGAACTTTCCAAAGTCGATCTCCTACGCGGGGACGCGAGGCAAGTCGAAGGCTCCGCGACGAGTCGACGAGTCGACAAGTCGAGGGCATCCGGTTGAAACGCTGTTCGCTACTACTCTGGTCTTGAAACCAACCAATTGGCTCGGTGTGATCAAAGCCAGCGCAGCTAGTTGTCCAGGCCGAAACAAAGGTTCAGATGGAACTTTTGGGAAAGGCCAAGGCACGAGAAATGCACCGAAGCACCCAGCAAATCAGGAACATTCATCAGCTATCGCTTGGTTTCCATGAACAGAGTTGCCAAATTGGAAAAAATGCTGAAGGGTGCCCAAGCTGTTAGAATGTGTCCCAGACAGGCGTGAAACACGACGATCCGTCGATGGAAGTGTCGGACGTCGATGGAACGTGTCCCATGCCATGCGACCGGTGGTCGACCATCCGCCGGATACGACGATGGTTGATCACTTCCCCGTGGTTCCAATCCACTTCCTTCCTCTGATGGTTGCTTTCCGAATGTTCGTGCTGAAAAAGCCTACCAAGGCGCAGCTCAGCTTATTTTGCTTGGCCTTTTGGTCCTTGGCTGCTGTCCTTTGCTGGTCGTTCGGAAGCGCACAACCCCATACGACATGGTGATTTCCACCAACTTGCCTTGGACTTGCTGACGCTGATGGCCAGCAACTCGCACTCTTCTTGCCTCACCCGGCTTCGAGATTCGGGTTAGAGTGTCGGCTTCTGGGCACTTCGGTGCAGTTCTGAGGTGAGGTTTCAGATGGTTTTACAGTGATGTTTCTGTGTTTTTACTGATATCGATTTGAAGGGTGGGCACTTGAAGATATAGACATTTCAGCCGTGAATCAGACTAGTTCCTCACCATCTGGTGCGTGGAGGTAACTTCCAAAGACCGTCCTCTAGGAGTGCTAAGCTGTCACACTACGCAATTTGGAGGTACTTCGATTGGACGTGAGAAATATGTTTGAATGCTTTAGGTGGTGAAACAAGCAAGAAACCCAGATTTCAACTGGTTTTGTACCAGTATTGTTTCCGTTTGATCCTTCATGGATTCATGAACGTTGTGACCCGCCAAGAGTTCACATGAGCTCACGTTGTTTTCTTCCAAGGGGTCCTGCCAATAAAGTTGCATCTTTTCAGTGCATACAAACATGTCAACGGACTTAGATGGGTGGTTTCGACCAAAGGTGATGACAAACTCAAACAACGTCACTATTCCACGTAGCTAGAGTTATAGTGAAGGATTGTATATAAAAGTATACCAGCATAGACCCCAAACAGCGTCATCATTTTTTCGGCGTCGGCGTCAACTCCGAAAATTGAAATGTTGGTGGAAATGAATGCAAGTATACTCTTCGAAAACCTCCAGCTGTTTGGGAACTGCACCTAAACAATAAATGTTTGAAAACACCTGTTCCTGATGCCTGTGTCACATGTGCAAAACGATGGGATACCGGATATATGTCATGAAAAGATCCGATGGTGATATCACATTTCGATCGCTGTATCACTGTTGCATTCATAGCCACATGAAAACATACCCAGACAAGGCGGCGGAGATAGGAAAAAGGGCGTGGCCAAGGATAAGGCGGTGATAAAAGGGCCCACAACGTGGACAAGCAGGACAGGCAGACCTGGACAAACAACAAAAGAAGGACACGGGGTTTGCCACCGTGGCACGAGGACAGCAGGGAACACCAGGAGGACCCACAGGGCTCGCAAACGTGACCACTAGAAGCAGGAGGAAGACACAGGGTTCGCCAGCACGGCCGACACAGAGTTCAAGGGCACGGCCGAGACAAGGACAAGAGGAGGACAAGACCCGGACACAGAGCCGGGCCACAGAGTTCAGGGGCGCGGCCAAGACAAGGACAAAAGGAGGACAAGACCGGACACAGAGCCTGGCCACAGGGTCCAGCCACAGAATTCAGGGGCGCAGCCAAGACAAGGACAAGAGGAGGACAAGGCCCGGACACAGCAGCCACAGAGTTCAGGAGCGCGGCCAAAACAAGGACACAGAGCCGGGCCACAGAGTTCAGGGGCGCGGCCAAGACAAGGACAAGAGGAGGACAAGGCCCAGCTCTTCTTTTCTAAGATAGAACCCCAACAGTAAACTGTTTGGGGAAATATGCGTATATTATCGGCATTATCGGTTTAGCAAAGTTCGCCAAGCACGGTCCCCTTGTTTTCTTTTGACCAGGCAGTTTCCTCTTCATATCCTTGGTGAACTGCATCTTTCGATGACACACTTCACTGTGTCTTTCTCGTCCACCACAACCGGTTTCTCAAATCGGAGGGAAGATCCTCCACCTGACGAAACTCAGTGAGACGAAGACACAGGACCTCAGGATGTACACAATGACAACGCAAACATACAAAACACGAAAGAACGAATCGTCCTTGACTTCAGTAACGCCTGCAGCTCAAAGCAAAAATAATGCCCTAACGGATTGAATCGGAACAAATGTCATTGTCCCACCCACCCCAACAAATGCGGTTCCATCCACACAATTGCAACTGATCTGCGCCGAACACTTGTTGGAATTCCAGCATCCATTCACAAAATGCTGTCGCGATCCTTTCGCGGACACAGCTTTGTTGTATTCAACAATTGGCCTGTGCTCCATTCTACAATTGGCCTACAAGACCTGGGGGTCCCTTGAAGTGTCTACTACCCACAACACCAACGACCTTCTCTTGTCACATCAAATGCTCACCATCGTGTTCTACTACTCACACACCACCCGCCCACCGAACCCCCCCCAACAACCTTCTGTCGTTACATTACATTGTCTTCCGTCTACGACCCACGGGAATGAAACCACCGCCACCTCCCACTGCCAAGGACATTCTGTCGTCACATCAACAATTTTAGCGAAGGGAAAGGGAAAAGTGTGTTTAGAATTAATAAGGAAAAGCCACGCTCATTAAAGGCGAACTTGCTCCGGAACCTACTCCAGAACTTGCTCCGGAACCTTTTCGGGAACTTGCTCTGGAACCTGCTCCGGAACCTGGGGATTTGAGAGATTCATCTGGCTTCATCCTTGATCCACAAAAAATGGCCCTGAAGATGTGTTCCGCACCCATCCATCCCATGCGTTCCCGCCCTTCCCACACCGAGCTCCACCGAAACCCCTCCACTTGGTTCCAATCCCCGCCAAAACTTGGCCGCCATCAAGCGTCATGGCTTGGGGGGGCACCGGAATCCACACGGCCCAAAGAGTTCGCCTCGCCCGATCAGAGAACGCCCAGATGCAATAAGCTCGGGTTAGAGATCCGTTCCACCAGGACATGGAAGACCTGTCTGCGCGTGTCTGCGCCGCCAGGCTGCAAGGAGTTGGGCATTTTGGGGTTGCGGGAGAGAGTCCATGCTGGATCTATATATATATATGTATAGTTCATCGCTTTTATGTAGGTGATGAGGTGATGAGGTGGTTCCAAAGAGCTACTAGTAGAGCTATGCATGAACACAAAGGAAAACGCGTTCCTGGGATCCCCTTAGATCCCCTTAGAATCTATTTGGACGCTGCACATTCTAAGCATGGAAGTATATCTTCAATAACCGGGGAGCCATCCGCTCACCAAACCTCTTCTACTCTTCTTTGGACGCAAACATGAGAGCCAACAAACGTCTGGGCAGGGAGCAGGACGCAAACATGTTTTCAAAAAGGCTTTGCGCCGGTTCATTCTCCGACACATGTGTTTGCTTTGAACGATTGAATCTGCACATCGTGGGTTTTTCACCACTGGACTGCCCCCTAAGAACCGAAAACGCCACGGGACCCAGTTTGCGGTGGTCTCCTGCGGAAACCGAAGAGACCACTTCCGTCGTCTCCTCGGAGTTCCTAGTAGCGGTAGCGTCCTTGCTCCTAGTAGCGATGCCAGGAGGTGCTAGTAGCGACCTTGCTCCTAGTAGTAAGGCCAGGAGCCCCTAGTGGCGTCCTTGCT